GTCATCCAAATTGTTCTGTACAGAGTACTGGAAGTGTTCACTAATAAATGATATAAAAAGGTCTTTTATTGACAAGCTGCCATATGCTGTTTGCATTAGAGAATATGAGAAGATGATGGCTGGTGCCCCTCGATCCCAATGGCATTCAACTCAGTCCGATAGCAGAAAATGCTCCAGTTGACTTAAAGCATTGATAACACCTCTAAATAATTAACTGAGGACTTCCTGTCTTCAATTACTTAATGCTTTTTTTAACATCTTGAGAGGATTATAAGCAATTTATGGATTTCACATGACGAGCACATTCACCGCTATTCCCACAAAGCATTTATGGGATCATGTTTCCAAAGCTTTGATGTAATTAAAAATAAGCAGCGAGACAATGGTGCCGTGGCAAGGTGCAAGCCTCCTCATCTGCAATTTTGTAAGGCCCTTGGATTCAAAGTCTCAGGGAACGCTAATGCTACAGCTTCATTAACGTTCAACTGTTGCTCTGGGAACAGCTGAGGGTTTTGAAGAAGATGAAAATCAAAACATAAGTCCACGGGGGCCTGAAACGATGGTTAGTTCAAACAATTGAGATATGTGAAATAAGTACGGTTGTTTCAGCAAACATGGTGAATTTAGAGTGCAGTAATTACCACGCTGTAAAAAACCGCTCTTCCACCTTGGGATAAAAAAGCAACCTTACCTTGGGCAGCAAGGGGAGGAGATGGGGGCTCCTTTGCTACCTACCAAAAAATAAAATTGAATGGGTGGTGATTCCTGCCCCCAACTAAAGCCACAGAAAGCAATGGATATTCAATGGCAATTTATTTGGCCTTGAAATATTTGTTTATTTGTTTGTTTTTATGTTACTTCATTTTATTTTATTTCAAATATTTTTATCCTGCCTTTTTCCGTAGAAAGGACTCAAGGCTGCTTGCATTATTAAAAGACAATATGTAAAGCTAACAATGGTGAGCAGACAATATTGAAATAATCGAACTACTATCACAGTAAAAATGGTAAATGAAAGCAACATAAAAATTCATTCAAAAAATGGTAAATGAAAGCAACATAAAAATACTTTCAAAGCAGCGAAGTACAGCTATACATTTAGCAAATCCCACTCAGGCAGCCTTCCCAACTCAAGGAAAGTTTGCCTGAAGACAAAAGGTCTTGGCCTCTTATGGAAGGACAGCAAGGATAGGGCCAGGCTGGCCTCTTGTGGGAGGGAATGCCAAAGTCTCGAAGCAGCAACAGAGAAGGCTGTCTTCTGTGTCTCCACCAAATGAACCTGTGAAGGTGGAGGGATCAAGAGAAAAGCCGCTCCTGATGAACTTAACACTGCGGTAGGCTCATAAAAGAAGAAGCAGTCCCAGCTTGGGCCCAAGGTGTTATATTTTAAATCCTAGGCTTCATCAGCACGATGGCATGACAAACAACACTGAATGGCTGGTTTATTGGTTTAACAAAATAAAGTAAGTAAATCACAAGATGTTAATCAAGTTCTCTCACTCACTGACACACACAGACTCTTCCCTCACTGACTATTTGGCTCACAGGCCCATAGACACACTCATCACTAACTCTCAAAATTCTTCTCAAATCTCCTTTCTCCCTCATCATACACCCCTTTATATATTCCAGCTCCTCCCCCTTCTGCACTGCCTTCCGTCCCCTCATTGGCTGATGTTCTACTGCCCAGCTGTGATGGACAGCTGTGATGGACAGGTGATGGACAGGTGAATGCTACAGGGATCAAAAAAAAAGCTGCTCCTGATGGACTTAACACTGCGGTAGGCTCATAAAGGAAGAAGCAGTCCCAGCTTGGGCCCAAGGTGTTATATTTTAAATCCTAGGCTTCATCAGCACGATGGCATGACAAACAACACTGAATGGCTGCTGCTGTTTGTGCTTGTCATTTATTAAGCTGTTGAGAAGCATCTGGTCTGTTGGAAATAGGGCGCTGGAACCTTTGGCCATATCTGGCAGTGCTACTGATAACGGTATTAACTGGGGAATACATTACTTCATATGCTACAATAAGTACGGTTGTTTCAGCAAACATGGTGAATTTAGAGTGCAGTAATTACCACACTGTAAAAAACCGCTCTTCCACCTTGGGATAAAAAAGCAACCTTACCTTGGGCAGCAAGGGGAGGAGATGGGGGCTCCTTTGCTACCTACCAAAAAATAAAATTGAATGGGTGGTGATTCCTGCCCCCAACTAAAGCCACAGAAAGCAATGGATATTCAATGGCAATTTATTTGGCCTTGAAATATTTGTTTATTTGTTTGTTTTTATGTTACTTCATTTTATTTTATTTCAAATATTTTTATCCTGCCTTTTTCCGTAGAAAGGACTCAAGGCTGCTTGCATTATTAAAAGACAATATGTAAAGCTAACAATGGTGAGCAGACAATATTGAAATAATCGAACTACTATCACAGTAAAAATGGTAAATGAAAGCAACATAAAAATTCATTCAAAGCAGTGAAGTACAGCAATACATTTAGCAAACCCCACTCAGGCAGCCTTCCCAACTCAGGGAGGGCCTGCTTACGGAAGGACAGCAAGGATGGGGCCAGGCTGGCCTCTTGTGGGAGGGAGTGCCAAAGTCTCGAAGCAGCAACAGAGAAGGCTGTCTTCTGTGTCTCCACCAAATGAACCTGTGAAGGTGGAGGGATCAAGAGAAAAGCCGCTCCTGATGAACTTAACACTGCGGTAGGCTCATAAAAGAAGAAGCAGTCCCAGCTTGGGCCCAAGGTGTTATATTTTAAATCCTAGGCTTCATCAGCACGACGGCATGACAAACAACACTGAATGGCTGCTGTTTGTGCTTGTCATTTATTAAGCTGTTGAGAAGCATCTGGTCTGTTGGAAATAGGGTGCTGGAACCTTTGGCCGTATCTGGCAGTGCTACTGATAATGGTATTAACTGGGAAATACATTGCTTCATATGCTACTTTGGCACAACAATGCAGGCATGGGGACTTAGGACTTGAGACTCGCAGCTGAGTCACACTGAAGTCATACTGAGTGACTTGACTTGGTGTTTTCCCCCAATGACCTGCATTTGAATCATGTAATTAGCAGCCAGTGGAGTTGCTGTAACAAGAGGGTTATGTGATCCCTGCAACCAACCCCAGTCAGCAATCTGGCTGCTGCATTTTGGACCCGCTTAAGTTTCCTGACACTTATCCATCAGCAGCTCCACACAGAGTGCATTACAGTAATCCAGCCAGGAAGTAACTAGGGCGTGTATCACAGTGGCCAGATCAGATATCTCAAGAAATGGGACGCAGCTGGCACACTAGTTTTAATTGTGCAAATGCACTTCTGGCCACCACTGAGACCTGGGCATCCAGGTTCAGGGATAAATCCAGGAGCACCCCCAAGCTGCACACCTGTTTTTTCAATGAGAGTGTAATCCCACCCAGTTACACTTGGCTGCATCCTTATTCCTTGTTCTGGCTTTGGACTGACCAGGAGCACCTCTGTTTTGTCTGGATTAGGTTTCAATTTATTCACCCTCATCCATTATGACAACTTTCCTCCTGCACCCTTGAATAAAAGCTTTCTCCTTCTGCAGCATCTGTAATTCCATGTTGCAATTATCTCATCAAAAAGGTTCTTTTAGTTTGTTCACACACAGCATTCTCGTGTTTAAATATTCCTTGTTTTATAGTTTGAACTCACCCTGTTTCCCACTTCACACATCCCATATTCCAACCACATGCATTGTGAAACACCAGATTTTCCTTTGATCTCCATGCACATAAGCATCTAGGCATTCTTTCAGCTTCAACCCATTTGCTTCCATTAGTGACAGTTGCATTCCTTGGCTCTTCCCCGTAGTTCTCCCAAAATGTCCAGACTGGGAACTTAATCTTCTAGCATTATCTCATGTTTCGTTTTCAATTGTCTTGTCACAGGGCTTTCAAGGTATAAAATATTCAGAATTGGTTTATCACTGCCTTCTGTGCGGCACAAGAATTTCCTTGAGTGTCACTGCGGTTGTATATAAATGATCCTCTGCTATTGTCACTTTCTGCTATTATTGCTGCACAGCACATGACCCCTCTGCTCCTTAACACAATTAGTACCTCCAGCTAAGCCTTGCCTTGCATTTCTGTAGCAGATCATGGTGTGTGTGTGTGTGTGTGTGTGTGTGTGTGTGTGTGTGTCTTTTAAAAATTAGTACCGCCAGCGAAGCCTTGCCTTTCATTTCTGTAGCAGATCATGGTGTGTGTGTGTGTGTGTGTGTGTGTGTGTGTGCCTTTTTTAAAAAAGGAATATTTGTGGTGGCTTACTAGGCCACATGTGTACCCAGTATGGTGTACTGGATAGCATGACAGACTAGGACTCAAGTGACCTGGGTTCAATTCCTTACTCAACCATGGAAACTCAGTATTGGGGATGGAACTGGAAAAAAATCACTCCTTAAATCTCAGTATTGGGGATGGAACTGGAAAAAAAATCACTCCTTAAATACCCCACTTATCTTGAAAGCACTATTAGGGTTGCTATGAGTTGGTTGGTCACGAAGAGTCGGACACGACTAAACGACTAAACAAAACAAAACAAACAACAAACTGGGCCACATGCAGCTGATGGGCTACACAATAGCTTCAAATTGACGGCACATAACAAACAACAAACTCGGCCACATGCAGCTTATGGGATACACAATAGTCACTCCTAATTTAAATGGATTCTTCTTAAAAAGGAACCAAAAAAACCCCACAAATTTAAATGGATTCTTCTTAAAAAGGAACAAAAAAACCCACAAAAAAGTAACAAGCAGTATCTGCCCCCACGGATACATGCAGTGTTAATGGTGATGCATTACCCTTTGGGAGCTTCACAATGAGTAATACAATAAACTACTTTAAAAAGGTAATTTGTTCTGCTCTTGAGTCTGAAAGGATTCACCTAGGATTAAAACACATTTAAAAAAGCTACTATGTAAAAACAATGGCCTCAAGTTTTTTAAAGAGCTTTCTTTCCTTACCTGATACTGTATGCTGCATCGTGCCTGCAGTGTCAGTATGTATAAGACCTTTCCCAATTTGACTGATCTGGTATTCTCGGATGATGCCGTTTGGCTTCCTTGGGGCTGTCCAACTCAAATGCAAAGCCACTGCACTCAAAGCTGTAACGGTGGGTGGCTGAACATTTTCCGGGACTCCTTGGACGGTGACTGCAACTACCTGAACACACATGAATTAGACAGCAATTTCTTGTAATAGTACACAAGATACCTTGATCAATGAGAATGTCACTTCTAGTTTAGCATGTTGTTGTTGTTGTGGCATATCATTACCACAGCCCTGTAAAACCAGTTACTTTTCTCCCTCGTTTTATTCCCACCCCCACCCCTGTGGTGAAATCTGACCTTGAATATGTTCACGTATGAGTCCAAGTGTACAATTTATCAAAGCAGATTCACAATGTTTTGTCTTCAGTGCAAAGCACTAGGTGAAAGGAAAATCTGGGTGGCAGGCGGTCTTGCCAGAGAATGCTTGATCACTCCCTTCCATATGGTTAATCAGTGCTGTTGCATGTTAACAGCCTAATTTCATATGGTTTTTTATCACCAGTGAACATTGGCATAAACTTTGATGCCCCTGTTACTTTTCCCCTTAGTCAGAGCTGCTGACAGAAAGGATGGGCATTCCTTTTTACAGTTTTCTGGGATTCATGCAGTATCCTGACTAGTAAGCAGCTGTGTGTATATCAAACATGGCTTAATTTTTTTACTAACCCAGGGACAGTATTAGTGTAACACTCTCCCCTTTCCCCCAGCTGTGTGTATATCAAACATGGCTTAATTTTTTTACTAACCCAGGGACAGTATTAGTGTAACACTCTCCCCTTCCCCCCCCCCATGGACAATAGGTTCTAATCTTTGAAGTCAAGTTGAACGTTTTTTGACAAACCAACCAAATCCACAGTGCTTTGCTGATTTTCTGTTTGGTCTGAGTCAAACAGATCCCTTAAATTCACAGCCACCAATCCAGCCTGTGCTTTTAGCCACCAACACGCTGTTGGAGGGCGAAAAAAAGAAGTCATTCGCACCCTCAGACTCCAAGGCAAAACTTCCTGTCTCTCAAAGGACATCACCAGAAGGCCTATGCCTGGCAGTAGTAGCTTAGGTTTCAGCATCCCTAGCCTTGGTCTCATCTGTGCTGCAGGATTCTTCCAAGGGGGAATATGCAGAAATCAGTCTCCTCACTAAATTTGGTAAGAATGCCCTTACACATGAACCCTCACACTTAACCTCTTGTCTCTGCAAGTATTTTTTGTATGATCGCTACCTCTACGAGGTTTGCTGTTTTGTAACAATAGTCCACAGGGAAGATAAGGAAATTAAGGGCAATCATTTTGCAATATCGTTCAGACAGAAGGTGTTTTCTGAAATGCGCCCATTCATATGAAACTTGGTAGCATTCATGCCCTTAGAAGTAGGAATTATGTTGACCTATTTCTTCTCATTAGGGTCAAGAAGTAACAAAAAAAAGTTATCAGCAATCCCATTACACAAAAAAGAAGGCTAAATATCTATAGGAAAAAATGAAACCCTAACAAACCAACCATCAAACAAATCCTACACATTTGTGCATGTATTGGAAATCACACTCTGCTCCAAATCCCTGACCTCTTCCCTTACTTTCATTACTATGTTCTCTTTCTCCATCTTATCAAATTTATGTATTGGAAATCACACTCTGCTCCAAATGAGCTACTAGGTCTGCAAAGAGAATAAATGGCACAGCCGTTTTTATGTGTCTCATGGTATTCAGTGGGAAGCATGTTTTAAATTTCCAGACTTCAGAAGGAGTTCAGGATCTACAAACTTCCTTTTATTTAGATATTGTTTTTATATATTTGTTTCCTTTGTGTGTTGTAAGCCGCCTAGAGTGGTCAATATGACCAGATAGGCGGGGTATAAATGTAATAAATAAAACTAAATAAATAAATGAGCTACTAGGTCTGCAAAGCGAATAAATGTCACAGCCGTTTTTCTGTGTCTCATGGTATTCAGTGGGAAGCATGTTTTAAATTTCCAGACTTCAGAAGGAGTTCAGGATCTAAGTTGAAGCTGGCTTTTCCCCCAATAGTATGAGCGCAGTGAACAATTTACCCACCTTGTGACTTTCTGCACAACCAGCAACAGTACAGGCACGCAATTGATAGGAATACTCCTGATATGGCTGAATCCCACTGGTGTCAGTGAAGCTCAGTGCCTTTCCTCTGAAACGTTCCATCCCATTTCGGAGAATTATGTAATGAATGATGATGCCTTTCCATAAAGACAAAACCAGTATGTTTGGATTAAAAAGCACATTTGGAATGCATGAACCAAACCATTACTAGAAAATATTACAGTGAATTATGAAAGAACGAAACATGCTTTGTAGCAATTTGGTATCAGTTGAGGGAAAGGACAGAAGGAGCCACCGAATAGGTATTCGCTAAGAAAGTCCACTACACAGATCACATTTAGATTGGGCACTTAACATTGGGTTAACACTGCAAAAGACACTTTGTCATGTGTTCTTCCAGTGCCTCTGCCAGGCCCTGGGCAAGAGAACGTAAAACTGCTTTTTTTGTCTATTTCTGTACATTCACCAATTTTAAATCTGTAATTGTTGCCCTATTGCATGGACTATTAAATAGTAGTAGCATTGGCTGAATGTAATAATATCATCGTCGTCATCTTAGAACTGCAGAACTGAGAGGAACCCTGCAAGTTCAGTCCCTCTCAAGGAGGCCCAGTGGGGAACTGAACTCCCAACCTCTGGCACCACAGCCAGATACTCAAACCACTGATTTTTTTAAAAAAAATCAATGAAACTGCTCTTTTTTTCCTGGCTTACCTAACTAAAGGAAAAGATGCTAGTTCTCATGGGAAGCCAGACTGGCTCAATCTCTGCTGTCCTTCCGTAAGCAGCCAAAAGGCAAAGACCTTTCTGTATATGTAAGTTTTTTTCTTAGTGACTTGCTATGTAAATGGGAGGTTCTTAAAACAAATCTGTTGTATTTATCTTCTCTTTTTAAAAATGTTTTTAGCACTGTTTTTATACATTAGTTTTTAATACTATATTCACTGAATTCTCAGCAGCTTGCCCAAGGCCACACAGGCTGGCTCTACTTCCAGAAAGCACAGTAGGCAACTGAACACCTACCTCTGGCTCCCTAGCCAGCAGGATCAATTGGATGTAAACGAAACTAATTTTAAACCAATTTATCAAATTGATTTAAAATCATCATTAAAGAAAAAAAAATCAGATTATGTTGACAGTTTACATTTTAAAAATTGAGGTTTTAATTAAATTGTGATTTTAAATTGATTTTTAATGCTTATTTTTATCCACTAAGGCAGCCAGATAAATAAACCACTGAGCTACTCATTCAGCAGTTAAGCTTCTAGATCTGTTAAATTCTTCACCAGCCTTCTAAAGAGAAGTATTTTGGGAAACTAAAGGTAAACTAAGGAAGGATGACAATCATATTGTTGACATATATAAGGTTCATGTGCTTGAACATTATTCTTTTAAAGCAGGTGGATCCTGCTGCTCATCAGATTACATAACATTTTACAAAATGTAAATACCATTTGGTTTTTGAGGTTCTTTCCAGCTTAAAAATATAATGTCTTCCCGATTATCCACTTTGGTCCACTGGGGTGGACTTAAACCTTCTGGTACATCTTCTTTGGTGGTAGCGCGGCTAATTTCACTTACACCTTTCCCGTATTTGTTCCACGTGGCTACCCTGTACTCGTATGTAACATGTGGTTCTAGAGACTGATCTGCAAAGAAAGTACAAGAAATTACAGTCAATCTGACTGTACATTTTAACAATTAATAATATATTTTATATTATATCAGCTTCCCAATCTCTTTGTACTCAGATTCCTTTTTGTGTTTGTTTATCTTCAGCTCTATCCCATCAACTTTTTGGTTTAGGGGGAAAAAAGGGCATCTGAGAGGTAACATATGCAAATGCCATCTGATCCTATTTGTACCCAAATATTTGGTGTACAAATTGGGACCAACATACCCCAAAATGACCTTGAAGCATCTTGAGGTGTTTGATCTTGTGTTTCTGCATCTATTTTAAATTTTTGTATGTTTTCAGATGGGAGGGTGGGATAATGCAAATGGAGAAGATAAAGGGTTATGAACTGGGATATGGGGGACACCACTGTGGTATGGTTCTGTAATTTTTCTTAACCCATACTATTAATTTATGGATTTTCCCATTTCATGATGGGATGATGGCCATGATGGCTTTTATAAATTGTTGTTAAGTGCTGTCAAATTGGAACCAACATATAACAACTCAGATAGGGCTTTCAAGGTAGGTATTTAAAATATAGTTTTACCATTTTAGCCCCCATGCCATGAGTATCTATAACTGAGAGGGGATTTGAACCCAGGTCTCCTGAGTCTTAGACTGTCACTCTATCCACTACACCACACTGGTTTTAAGTCTACTAAATGGTAATTTTGATGGGCAGCCTCAATTTGCCAACTCAGAATCTTTCACATACCAGTTGCTAGGGGTAGTGAAGAGAGAGAGAGAGAGGAATAACAAGGTAGGGTTATTGTCCTTATACTCTAGATTGGCTTTCAACAGAGCATCTGAATAGTAGCAATGGAATCTTTAGTTTCCCAGCTG